TCTTTCCCTTTCTTTTCCTACTCACCCTTTCAGGTACCTTCTGAAAGGGAAGACTTTTCCTTTATTTGTCTGCTTTTCTCCTCTCATCTGTGCCTCAGCACCTAAGCACTTCAGTAAGACATTAAAACAGGTTTGTTGAAATGTTTAAAATTTAGGCAGGGAATAAAAAAAGGATATCTGGAGATTTTTTTCATTTCTCAGCACTTTGCCTTTTTTCCCCCTATTAAAAAGAATGTAGCCCAGGAGATTATGAGGCAGACGCCTCCGATGTTAATTTGGAGTTCCAAACCTGCCAGTGCTTAATAATAAAGTGAAAAACTGTTTGGGTTCTGACATAAATCCACGCATCTGGGAAGGAAGAGTTGTTTCATCAAGCAGATGGTCTTTGTGCAAATGTGAGTCTGAAATGCAAGTTCTGCCGTGAATGAAAGCGACACAGAATTTGTTTTTGTTCACCTCTGCTGACGTATCTTGTATTCATTATCCCTGAGCAACTTCAGCTTTCTAAGTAAAACGGATCCGTCTATTATACAAGCTTAATCTCTCATACTTGCGGTTGGTATTGTTTTGCAATGCCCACATGGGGAAAGAAAGAGCAGCCACATTTAATTTTTTAAAAAGGTATAATGACACTAGGAACACTGCAAAGCCACAAGGACTAACTACAGAACCACTTACTTTCCTCTCCTCGGAAGATAGCGTAGCATCTGAGTGTTAAATTGCTATCTAGTAGGAAATTGTGCCCCGCAGAAATTGGAATTAACTTGTTGGTGTTAATGTATGTATCACATGGCCACCATTTAATGTTACTGCATCAGTGCATAAAATATTATTTGATATTTGAGTATTTTATCCTAGAAAGATAAAATACTGAAAGCAATTTCCAGAAATTCAGAACGTCTAACAACCCTGGAGTGGTCTTAAAATGATAAGTCATTTTAGTACTTTGTTGTATGACACTGCCTTGTAAGTTTATTACACAAGAGAATTATTGTACCTTGTGCATTTACCGTGGAAGATGTCAATGTGGCAACTCTAAGAATCCCAAAGGAATGCCAAGAAAAAATGTGCACAGAAAAAGTGTAGTCTTTCTCTCCTACCTTCTAAAATCATCTTCTATTTTGTTTTAAAGTGATTTTCCCTCTTAAGTGAGCACTGGATATTCCCTTCCTTTAAGACATAGGATAAAGGTTATAATTTTTTTTAAAGAGAGAGAGAGAGGAGATTGAGGAAGGGGTCGTTTCTTACTGGGGGTGGAGTGAGCAGAGGAGGTAACAAGGCTGTGCCTCAGTTTCCCCACCTACAATTACTGCAAAGACCACCCCCATCATGAGAAAGTAGAAGTTGAGGTAGGAAAAATGGAAACCAGCCAGCAGTAAGTCGGAACAGGAGTGGGCTTCAGTTTTTTGCTAGCATGACAAATGATTCGTCCAGGTTACCAGGTGCTGTTATGTGGTGTCTTTCCACTCTCCGTGTGTGCCTAGACGCATTTCTATATACGTTCAGAGGTGTGCCGAGTAGAACCCCTTGGGCATCTTGGGTAAATGTTTTCAAGATGAATCACCATTGATAACCAGGTTCTCAGCTGTCTCGACATGCAGCTCGGGGTCCTTAGGCTCATGTCAGAAGGGAATGTTTAATGAGCCAGTGTAGACCACACTCTGTGCTTTCAAATATATCTTGAATCTGCCTATGTCTCTCCATCTCCATGGTAACCATCCAAATGTAGACCTTGCTACTCAAAGTGTGGTCTAGGGCAGGCATCAGATAAACTTTCCAGGTAAGGGCCAAATAGTAAATATTTTTCGGTTTTGTGGCCCATATAGTCTTCTGTTCAACGATTTCGCTCTGCCATCATAGCATGAAAGCAGAAAGCTGCCATAGATGAAATGGAAACCAATGGACATGGCTGTGTTTCAATAAAACTTTATTTACAAAAACAGGCGGCAGGCCAGATTTGGCCAATGGGCCATAGTTTGCTGACGCTTGGTCTAGAAACCAGCAAGGTCAGCACCACCTGGAGGCTTATTAGAAATGTAGTATCTCAGATCCCACCCCAGATCTACTGAATTAAATCTTCATTTTAACAAGATCCTGGACGTGATTCCTATCCACATTAAAGTTTGAGAAGACTAGTCTCTAGGGCGAGACTAGCTCTGTTCCTCTTCTGAGCTGCTGTGAAAGCCTAACCAGTCTGCCTGAACTTACCTTCACTTAACTATGCCACCCTGCAAACCATTCTCCAAGAAGCAGTCAAAGGGATCTTCTTAAAATACAAATTGGATCACATCACTTGCCTACTGAAAACCTTTCAGCAGCCTGTCAGTTAGGGTTGTCAGACTTAGTAAAAAAAAAACAAAAAAAAAGAAAACAAAGCAAAAAACAGGATGCCAAGTTAAATTTGAATTTCAAATAAACAATGAATAAATTTTCAGCATAAGTATGTCCCATGCAATATTTGGAACACACGTAAACTAAAAAGTTGTTCTTTATCTGAAATTCAGATGTATCTGGATGTTCTGTATTTTACCTGGCAACCCAGTGCTCTGAGATTACAGTCCGACCTCCTTATCACAGCCTCAAAGACCCGCGTGATCTGGCTCTGTCTCCCTCCCAACATCACGGTACAGCGTTCACCTCCACCTCGCAGTGCAGTCAGCACGCTGGCTAAGCTCCTTCCTGCCAAGACCTCGGACAAGCCGTGGCCTCCACCTGGAATCCACTTTCCTCCTATCCATCAGATTTCAGCCTAAAGGCTCCCGTATAAGGGAGGCCTTCCCCGACTGTCGGTCTGAAATGAGCACAAGCTCTTCCCCTCTAGCCGTCCCCCCGCCCCACATTCTCCATTGAGTCTCTATACCCACCCTGTTTCCACTGAAGCCTTTTCCATAATTTCCGGTGTTTATTTGGGGCTTATTTATTTTATTTGCCTATTTCCCCCACCAGGATGTCAGTGTGATGGCGGCAGGGACCATTCTATCCCAACATTGTACATGGTACCTAGTCTGCAACAGGTCGGAATAAGTATTTGGTGATCGAGTGAGTGCAGGCTCCTCTTTCTCTTAGATAGAAATCAGAAAGACCTCTTCAATTAAGTTTGGGAACGGGCGGACATGGCAGAAGGAAAGGGTAAATAGAAGCCCACCTGGTCACACGGAAGGACGATCAAACAGCTGGTTTGGTTGGGAATTGGATGAGTGATGTCGAGTGAGGGGACATTCTCTCTGTAGAAGCAGAAGGGCTTCAGTGTTCCAAGGGAGTCCAGGCTAGACAGAATTGGTGAGTGCTACACACCTGAGAGTGGAGGATGAAAAAAATTTCACTTAACCTTTGGAATTTCCTTTTCCTTAAAAGGATAAAGGCATTCATATGGCCTGCTCTGCTCATCCCTTCTTCAGACTTTCAGAAAAGGCATCCATTAAGAGTTTGAGAGAACTTTAAAAATAAATTTCAGGGATTTCCCTGGTGGTCCAATGGTTAAGACTCTGCACTTCCCATGCAGGGGGCGCGGGTTGGATCCCTGGTCGGAGAACTAAGATCCCGCAGGCCATGCAGAGTGGCTGAAAAAAGAAAGAAAAAAAAATTCAGAGGCCCTTCAGAGTTTTTCCATCATGCAGAATGTACACCAGCTGGGAAAAAAAACTTAAAAGGAAAAGGCACCCAACAATGAGTGGGTCCTTCTATTAATGGTGGTAGAAGAAAGTCTGAAACTGTAATAAGTATCTGCCTGGGATGGAAGATGCTTTGGGTGAATATCTGCGTTGCAAGGGTTGTTACAAGCCATCAGCTAACTTATCCCTTCTCATAGAGTAATCACAATTTCTCAATCAACAAATTTACATTGAAGTTATACTTATCATTATATTATTACTCTGCCATGTACTTATTCAGGCCTTCTTTTTTTTTAATGCTCGGTACCCAGAGAAGAACTTTAGGGGTTCTTTCCACACAAGACTGTTTCCTTGAGCTTAAAGAAGTCCAAAGAAGGAATGATTCCTTAGGACTGTAATCGCTTAGAGAAAAGAAGGTGAGGTTTTACTTGGGACCAGAACGTCTGGGAATAGCACGGAAGAGGGAGAGAGATTAGCATGTGGAAAGGGGGAGGAAGGGGAGGGAATAGCGGAGCCAGAGGACAGGAGTGGCCCAGTGTGACTGAAGGAAATTAGTCAAAAACAGGAAAACGATAATTTGAAAAACTGAAAATGTCGACTGAATTTGGTTTATAGAATATGTTGAATAACTAGTGTAACCTGCTTGGAAAAGCAAAGAGCCGCAAAAGTTGCTGAGCCGTGGTGACATCACGAAGCTGTGTTTTGGGGAAAATGCACCTGACGGGAGGGTAGAATTAACTGAAAGAAGGGAGAGACTCCAGGTAGAGAAACCAGTTAGGAGACCACTTGATTGTCCACTTGATTGATTGACTGATTGGAGCACTTGAACTACAGGAACGAAGTAGGGGGTGAAACAGAAGGAACAGCCCTCTCCAAAGGCGCAGGAAGGAGCTCAATGATTCCTGAAAGAGGGAGGGTTAGAAAGGATTTTTTTTAATCAAATTTGTTTATAGAAGGACTTTTAAAAACATGGGAAAATCACCTGTATAATTTTCCATGCATTGTAAACCCCATAACTGTACTATGTAACTTCTTAAGTCCTCTATAGATGTGCAAGTTAAAATGTTGGGGACACGGGTTCGTGCCCCGGTCCGGGAGGATCCCACATGCCGCGGAGCAGCTGGGCCCGTGAGCCATGGCCGCTGAGCCTGCACGTCCGGAGCCTGTGCTCCGCAGCGGGAGAGACCACGACAGTGAGAGGCCCGTGCACTGCAAAAAAAAAAAAAAATGTTTAGGAAAGGGAGATTCTAGACAGCCCCTGTGCTCCTTTCTGTTTCTTGCCTTCTTTTATTACCTCTTCTTCCTTCCTTCCTCCCTGCCTCCCTTCCTTCCTTTCTTTCTCCTTCCTTCCTTCCTTCCTTCTTTCCTCCCTCCCTCCTCCCCTCCCTCCCTCCCTCCTTTCCTTCCTCCCTCCCTCCCTCTATCTTACTTTATTTTATTTTACATTCTTTCTTTTTTCCTTCCTTCCCTCCTTTCCTTCGTCCCTCCCTCCCTCCCTCCCTTCCTTCCTCCTTTCTTTTTTTAAAGCAAAAGGGAGAAAACTCCCAAGAAAGGCTGGCTGCGTCATGGTTCTAAGTAGGTCACGGCAGTTGAATGCAGGGAGCCCTCAATGATTCAGTTCAGTGGCCCCTTCAGCTCACAGCATTAAAAGCATTTCACTTGGTGTGTTTAAGCTGTCTGCACAATGCGCTCTCTGGCTGATTTTTTTCAAAGTTGATTTAATCCTGGCACTTCATAAAATGTGTATATCCATCAAAGCAAGACTATTTTATTCATGTTCAAGAGAAATCTCTGAAAGGGTGGGATAAAACCAAACGCATGGAAACAGGCCCAAATCCAGCAATGGGAAAACACAGATGTGTAGGTTAAGTGCAAGATTTCAGGAGACGTGCCACCCCACCCCAAATAAGTTTCTAATCAAATGCCAGAGTGAAGCATCGGAACCTGCCAACATTTCCTCCTTGGCTGCCTTAACTGTTTAAATCATTCCTTTTAAATTGCATCTGACTAGGCTGAGAACAATAACGGAAATGCCCACCGACTGATGATTCTGGCAATTTTGTGAATTATCACATAAAGTGAAACGCTGGACTGCATGCCTTTCTCCATGGGGTTTATATTCACACTCCTGCGCACACTCAGCATCCACGCTCAGCTCACCATCATTCCTGCCATCATCCCTCTGCTGGGTGTGACCACAGCCGCAAAAATACATTGCTGTGGATTAGACTGTGGTGTGCTGATCATTTTGCATTTTGAAAGACTGAAAGGAATAACCTATTTAAGAAAACCATTTAGATTTGCATAACTCTTTCCTTCTTTCTTTTCTTCTTCTCTTCCTTCCTTTCTTTTTCTTTAGGAAACCCGATGGGATTAGCTTCGATCAGGATCATGCAATAGCAAAGAAAGGACACACTCTGGAGAGTCCCCATAGGATTTTTGCCTGCGGTTCCCAGGCTACAGATTTTACTGGCTTTCTGGGAGGAAGTGAGCTCGGTGTGATGAGATGACTAAGATGGGGGCTGGTGAACATCTCAGATTCAGTGATTGGAGTTAGCAGATTGGAAATGTTTAAGGGAGGCACAGTATGTTCTGAAAAATTCCCAAGGTTGCCCAGTCAAGAAAATAGGGATTTTAGAAGATTTCTTAAAGCAAAATTAAAAGCAATAGACATTAATAATAGCTCAGTTAACGAGGGATTATACATCTTTAAGGAGAAAAATGGAGGGGGTGTGTCAAAAGTATAATGAACTAGAGAAAGAAAGAAGGTCGGAATTGTTGATTTGTTCCACGGGCAGTTTTCTGAGCCCCGACTACATACCAGTCGCCATGTTACATGCTGGTCATATAAAGATGAATTAGTCGTTGTCTCTTAGCTTGTGGAGCTAATCTTGGTCCATTAAAGTATAAAGAGATTAGTTCTCTTGGACAATACTGAAAATGCTTCCAAAGTTGGGGTAGTCACTTTCTCTCTACTCAAAGAGGGTTTTGCAAGGCAGAGCCAATCTTCCAAAGGTACTAAAAGCATTGCTGTTTTTGGAGGTGAGCTTTTCACACAACAGGCAGTCCACTAAAAATCCAGGAGTCAATCCATATACCACTAATGAAAGAGTTTGAAAACACTGTTGATGTTCTCTAAAGGAAAATAAATATATAAGTAATGACTGCTCTGTAGAACTCACTAAAGAACTCGTTTTCTGCACAGTTCCCTTTCAAGAGCAGGTGGTTTCTCTGTACTCGTATTCCCATGCCCATCATTTAGGGGCCTGCTAAATAATTTTACTTTTTTAGTACTCTGCAGAACTCAGAAAGTCCTTTGCATTGTTACAGACTCTATTCTAAATTAAAAGAGATTAAAGATCCATTGCATGGTCTCAGGTTAGACAAACCAACTACAACAAAAGCCATCTGAAGGACAACTGGGAAAAGTTAAGTATGTGCTAGGTTTATATGATATTAAGAAATTATTGTCGAGGGGCTTCCCTGGTGGTGCAGTGGTTAAGAATCCACCTGCCAATGCAGGGGACACGGGTTCGAGCCCTAGTCCGGGAAGATCCCACATGCCGCGGAGCAACTAAGCCCATGCGCCACAACTACTGAGCCTGCGCTCTAGAGCCCACGAGCCACAACTACTGGGTCCACGTGCCACAAGTACTGAAACCCGTGCACCTAGAACCTGTGCTTCGCAACAAGAGAAGCCACTGCAATGAGAGGCCTGCGCACGACAATGAAGAGTAGCCCCTGCTTGCCACAACTAGAGAAAGCCAGCGCGCAGCAACGAAGACCCAATGCAGCCAAAAATAAATAATTTTAAAATAATAATAATAAATAATTGATTTTTTAAAAAGAAATTATTGTCGAATAAAGAAGTGTGATATACATATACAGTGGAATGTTATTAAGCCGTTAAAAAAAAATGAAGGGAATCCTGCCATTTTCAACAACGTGGATGGACCTTGAAGACATTTCACTAAGTGAAATAGGTTGGACAGAGAAAAACAAATACTGTGTCATCTTACCTATATGTGGAATCTAAAACAAAATAAAACAAAACAAAAGCCAAACTCAAAGGAAGACAGGTCAGATCTGTGGTTACCAGAGGCAGGGTGTGGGCCCAGGGAAGCTGGTCAAAAAGCACAAACTTCCAGCTGTAAGTCAGATAAGTCTAGAGATGTAGCATACAGCATGGTAACTCTAGTTAACACTACTGAGCGATATATGTAAAAGTTATTAAAAGAGTAAACCCTAAGACTCCTCATCACAAAGAAAAGATGGTTTTGCTTCTTTTACTTTTTGCTTGTATCATATCTACGTGAGAGGATGGCTGCTGACTAAATTTATTGCAGTAATCATTTCACAATATATCTAAGTCAAACCATCGTGCTGTACACCTTAAACTAACATAGTGGAGTATGTCAATTATATCTAGATCAAATGGAAAAAATGAAAAAAATAAATTATTGCCATTTTTGTTAGAGGTGCTAATACTTAGGCTATGTGTAATGTGCAATGTCATGATAACTTTAATATAAAATACGTAAGCATTTTTAAATACTGTTAACAGTTAGGAACACATCAACATCTAGAAAATCTTTAGACTTTTCTATTTGATTTTCATCATGTGTATGCATTACCTTGATTTTTTAAATGTATTTAATTAATTTTGACACTATATCTCTGGATTTGTGCCTATACAAATCCCACTTCCCAGCCACCACTATATCTTGTAGTTGAAACTAATCACTTCAAGGATGACTCTTGTTTTGCAAGGCTCTGAGCTTTCAAAAAAACAGATTTAATTATGTTCAGTGCACTTTAGTTAATTAGGCAAGAATGCAGACTAACAGTTTAAACAGCGTTTTCATTATAAGATTGAAACAAAAAGAGACTGTGAACTAGGACATTAAATTAACCAGGTATTCTCCCAGTATTCTGGTTGGTTAATAGGCATGGTTGATAAGCCTCAATCAAACTAAAAATGCACACCCTAACTAGTTGTGATGGGTTGATGGTTAAGAATATAGCAAATGCGTTCAGGATACCAAGGGGACTTCTCTGTCAGTGTGATCCACGGGGGATACCGTGGGCATGACCTATTTTAAAAATGGCAAAATAATCTTATATTTTAATGATAAAATTAAGATTCTTTAATGGATTTAATGAATAAAAAGACTGTACCTGTACAGACACCAATATTGCAGCACTCAGTAATTCCAGAAAGACTGTTAAAATGAATCTGGAAGCCTAGATTACCTCCAAACATTTGGGTTAGATGGACGGCGGAGGACCAGCTAAGCTGATTGTGAAATTCTAACTCTCAGCAAACTGTGTGTTTATCTTATGAGCCAGATTTGCCTCATATTCTAAATAGTTGTGTTTTTTGTTTTGCCTTGTTTTTTTTATTTCAGAATGTCCTCATTGTCGAGGTAAGCTGACTTTTCTTTATCCATACTTGGAAGCTGAAAGAATCCAATGGTGAGTTTCGAAATATAGAACCTGTTATCAAACTGGCCAAGGATTTATTGAATTCCCACTGTGTTTAGGGCTTTTCAAATTTACAGAATAGGAGTCAACTGGAATCACTGGCTTGAAATAACTGAGAATGGAAGCTTTGCAATAATAGTTGCATGGTACTTTATCCAGTTTTATATCTAATGCCACCCATATCTAAATTGGTTCTTATACCTATTTGTGAATCAGACATTTTTCACAGAAGAGAAAACTAGCCCACAGAAACAAAATTTTTTAATAGTAAAACCAAGGTTAGAATTCTCTTCACCCTTAATTCAGTGTTCTTGCTAATGTCCTCTAATGACTTGGAATAATTCTCCCTTTGGCATCCAAATCATAAATAGAATTAATCTAAAAATTTGCTATCCAGGGGAAATCTATAATTTAATTTAATTTGTTTTTCTGTTTAAAAAATAAAAAGAAGAAAGAGAGAACGGGTCCTGTAGCCCAGCAGGCCTGTCTTATCAGCTGGCAAAAACTCAGGGAAGCTGTTTTCAAGCTTTGGTTACAATTGCCTGAGTGCGCCACATGTATCTGCAGTTCTGCCTCACACATAACCCATGAAGTAGACCCTCTAGCCAAATGCATTGCCCAACCCTGGCTAAATCAGACCCGTTGTTTTGATAGTCAGCTCCTGACAGCTGATTTCTGTCCCACGGACAATCCATTTCGGCTGCCCATTCTACTCTAATTATGCAGCAGCTCATCAGCGGGGATGAGCCTCAGCTCACGGCAGCCTCGCACCCTCAGAACTCACAGGCTGTCACCAGCTGCTGTCCAGACACATCTCACTTCCCAGCCATAGAATCTCCTATTAAGTGAGGAGAACAAGGGGGGAGGCATTTATCCATTCAGCGTATTCAGATGTACATCCCAGGTCCATGAAAATTCATGCGTCCTGTGTTGTGTTACATAACCTCAGGGCCAAATTTAGTCCTTGAATGCGCGTGCACGAATCCAAATGCACTCAATAAAGAGCCCCACGTGCTTTCCAGACGCTGAACTTAGCCTTTCAACACAGCTCAAGGATTCTAGGAGGAAATAGTCACCAATATATCCCCCCCAAACCCAGCTTCCAGAAAGAAGCACCTGTCTAAAAAATATAACCGGCTCTGCCTCCTACTTTTACTCTAATTTGATGGCAGTTCTAATTATGATGCATTATTAATAAGGACTAGAATCATCTGTCTGGATGAAATGCCTTTTAATGCAGCCCAAAGGCATTTGGTTGAATTTGTCTGTCCTCTTTGCAAAGGATGTTGTCGGAACCGGGAGGACCATGAAAGCATTGCTCGGTAGCATAGAGAAATACAAGCCCAACAGGATTAAGGTAGCCAGGTGAGTGCCACATTCACATCATTGCTGTTTCTGTCTTTCCAGGCCAGCACGAGAGGGATGCTAACACAGGAAGCTGTTTCCAATGAGTGCAGTCAATTCCAGACCACTGACCCTTTGCCCTGGAGTGTTGTGGTTTGACCATACTGAACAAACAGCCCATTTGATCGCTAGCCTGAGAGAGAGGAAAGGGAAGAGGACATGCTTTGCTGTGTGTCTGAGCCCCTCTTTCCGATGCCTCTGTTAGTTGTTTCCAGGAGCAGCTGGCAGAGCCCCAGTGCCCGCGCCCCTCTGCCTTCCTTTTATCCAGAATCTCACTGATGAGGTGCCGCAGGAGGGAATTCAAGGGCTGTGCTCATGCCCCATGTGCCCGAGGGAAAAAAATGCACGTTTCAAATATATATTTTAATGATGTTCAATTCTATTTGCAATTCACAAACATTTCATCTGGATCACTAAAGCTTTTTTTTTTTTCTTTTAATGGTAGTTTGTTGGTGAAGAGAACACCTAGAAGTGACGGCTTTAGACCTGACTGTAAGTGGTTTTTGGGTTTTTGTTGGTTGTTTGTTGGCTGGTGGTGGTGTTTTGTATTTCAGAATCTTTGGTTTCCTTGTTGTTGGCATTCTTGTGAAACGGAAGCTATAAAGATTTGATGGTCCCATAAATGGTCTGTGGTCTCCCCAGCAATAGAACCCTCTACAACCAGAGGTTTTCATTTTCTAATTTGCATCTTTCCCAGGAACTGTGTTGTGTACACAGTTTTTATTTTTAGGTTTTCCATAGTACCTTCACTCCTAAGAACTCAGCTAAATTGGTTTCAGGGGGTAGAGGGAGATGTGACCCCCTCCTGGGCTGACTTGGATGCACAGGATTCCTGCCTTGGCCTCTGTCCCCACCAGTTGGACACAGAGAGGCACTGGGAAGGTTGAGAGGTGTTCTCCTGTCTCCAGGAGCTGTGAGCGGACAGCGCACAGCGCTGACCTTCAGCAAGCCTGAATTTTAGCGCAGAAGGGGAAATAGGAGACACCGCTCCATCACCTGCAAACACAAGTATAATAACACAGAGAATTAACAGAGCAAATATCTCTAGATACCATCTTCACACTTGAGTTCAGACACATGTTCTGAAGGACGTTGCTCATTTAAGGCACTTTCCTCCCTCCTCCCCAGGATACCAATAGTTCTGATGCCAGAGAGGATAAACAAGCTGCTTGATTATTTATTATTCTAACACTAGAGGCGATATTTTCTTCACTTGCACAGGCAGACTTCAGCTTGAGTTTTATGACTTACATTTGCACTCAAGCCTCTGGGATAATTTGGCTGCAGTTCTCATCAGCAGGCTGAACAAACATAAGCACAAGAAGCACACTATGGATGGGTAATGTGCCAGTGACACTGAACCAGTGATTCTTTATTCTAAAAACAAGTTTCATTCCTAGGCGGGGTGTATTAAATCTAGACAATGTCAGTTCCGGCCAGATAGACCCAATAGCATGTCCCTGTCCAGTTATTGGCTTGGGGAATGTAATCTGGATATAGTTAAGGTCCAACAAGGTTAATAAACAGAAATCTTCTAAGGAAATAATGTAAGATACTGTATAGAGAAGATTTCAACTGAAGTTGAAAGACATGCACTTCAGACATATCCAACTAGTTACAAATGTCTTGTGTCACAGCAACAGCATTAATAAAATAACAGCAGCTAACAGTAGTAAGAGATTTATTTTTTTAATTTTTAAAAATTAAAAAAAATTGAAGTATAGTTGATTTACAATGTCTTAGTTTCAGGTGTACAGCACAGTGATTCAGTTATACATATATGTGTGTGTGTGTGTGTGTGTGTGTGTGTGTGTGTGTGTATTCTTTTTTAGATTCTTTTTCCTTATAGGGGTTATTATGAAGTATTGAGTATAGTTCCCTGTGCTATACAGTAGGTCCTTGTTGGGTCTCTCTTTTATATATAGTAGTGTGTGTATCTGTTAATCCCAACCTCCTAATTCATCTCTCCCCTCCCCTTTCCCTTTTGGTAACCATAAGTTTGTTTTCTATGTCTGTGAGTTTGAGTTACCATATGATCCTGCAATCCCGCTCTTGGGCATATATCCAGAGAAAACTATAATTTGAAAATATACATGCCCAATGTTCATTGCAGCACTATTTACAATAGCCAAGACATGGAAGCAACCTAAATGTCCATTGACAGATGAATGGATAAAGAAGATGTGGTACATATATTCAATGGAATACTACTCAGCCATATAAAAGAATGAAATAATGCCATTTGCAGCAACATGATGGACCTAGAGATCATCATACTGAGTGAAGTAAGCCAGACAAAGACAAATGTCATATGACATCGCTTATATGTGGAATCTAAAAAAAAAAAAGATGCAAATGAATTTATTTACAAAACAGATTCTCACAGACATAGTAATAGATTATGATGTGCCTGACTCTGTTCTAAGGGCTACACAGAGATTAACACATTTAATCCTTGCAACATTCCTCTAAAGTAAGTGCTATTGCTGTGCGTATTTTACAGATGAGGAAATTGAACACAACCAGGTTAAAGAGTTTGCCAGGGTCACAAAGCTGTAAGTGTAGAGTCAGTATTGAACCCAGGCAGTCTGGTTGCAATCATGGCTTTTACTCTTGCCCTGCATCTGTAAGTAGCATCTGCCATTGCAAATATAAGGGTAGGAACTGCAGCCATTTACCAGCTAGAGGTAGGTCACTCTGATTCCTGGCTGTTTTCCTGTCCTGCTGATCCAGTGTTCTTTTTTTTTTTTTTATTAATTTTTATTTCTTTATTTTTGGCTGTGTTGGGTCTTCATTGCTGCACGCGGGGTTTCTCTAGTTGCAGTGAGAGGGGGCTAGTCTTCGTTGTAGTGTGCGGTCTTCTCATTGTGGTGGCTTCTGTTGTTGTGGAGTATGGGCTCTAGGTGCACGGGCTTCAGTAGTTGTGGCTCGTGGGCTCTAGAGCACAGGCTCAGTAGTTGTGGCTCGCGGGCTCTAGAGCACAGGCTCAGTAGTTGCAGCGCATGGGCTTAGTTGCTCTGTGGCATGTGGGATCTTCCCAGACCAGGGCTTGAACCTGTGTCCCCTGCATTGGCAGGCGGATTCTTAACCACTGTGCCACCAGGGAAGTCCCTGATCCAAAGTTCTTTTTTTTTTTTTTATGGCTGCGTTGGGTCTTCGTTGCTGCGCCGGCTTCCTCTAGCTGCGGTGAGCGGGGTCTACTCTTCGTTGCTCTGTGCAGGCTTCTCATCACTGTGGCTTCTCTTGTTGTGGAGCACAGGCTCTAGGCACGTGGGCTTCAGTAGTTGCAGCATGTGGGCTCAGTAGTTGTGGCTCGTGGGCTCTAGAGTGCAGGCTCAGTAGTTGTGGCACATGGGCTTAGTTGCTCCGCGGCACGTGGGATCTTCCTGGACCAGAGCTTGAACCCGTGTCCCCTGCATTGGCAGGCGGATTCTTAACCACTGAGCCACAAGGGAAGCCACAACGTTCTTTTACTCAGAAGGTTTGGCCTTCTGAATTGACTTTTCCCAGTCTGAGTTGCCACGCCTGTTTTAAGGATTGCATTGCACGCTGTAAAGTCATCATCATCCTTACAACCAGGGGTTCCTGGGATTTGCCAATATGCTTTTAGCTAGCTCAGAATCTCTGTGCTCTCTTTCTTCCCAGATTTCTGAGGCTTTGTACTTTTTGGTCCTTTCTCGTAATTGACTTTTTCCTTTATGCTCAATGACACCTTTTATATCCCCTGACATCTTTTCTTCTGCTCTGCTTCTTCTCTTTGATTATTTTTTCTCAAGAAACCTACAGTTTGGAGGGATCAAATAGGCTTCCTAACAGTGACACATAATGGAATCCTTAGAAGAATAAATCCCTCACCTCTAGCACTTTCTGCGAGCAAGAACCAGTTGGTTTCTCCATGTGGAAGCATCCTTGGTCAGGAGGACCAGAATGGTGGTGAATGGTCAGTGATGGAGATACATTTCTCTGGGCTGTAAGTCCACTGGCTATGCCAAAGTACTGTTTCATAAAAGTAAGCAAGTACATCTCTCGTTTGCAATACCGTAATAAACATAAGATTCCCCAATACTGGAAAGAATTTGAAAAATCATTGGGCTATAGTTTCAAGACCTAAAGAAGAAGAGCTATTGTATGTTCCTTAAGAATTCGTTTCAATAAAAATCATCTTTCTTTCAATATATTCATCCTTTGCTTAACCTAAGTATCTCCTACTGCATTTAAATCCATTTACTCCCATCCCGCCCTCAGTGGAGACAGAAAGCTAATTACTATCATCTGCATTATGGACTCGAACACTAGCATTAGAGTAATCCTTAGCATTGTCTTCCTCAGGCTGAGCAGTCCCTTTTCCTCTCATCTTGTCTCCCAGGTTTTGCTTTCCAGCCCTTTATCCAGCCGAGGCCGCTGAGTGCCGTGGGAGGATGGCTTCCTATTGCAACAGCCTGTGCCCCTATTCATGTATTACAGCATTGGAATACCTTCCAATACCTTTGAACTGCACTTCATGCTTTGCAGTGTTTCCTTTGGCATGATATCATTGGATACTGCTTGCTTTGGAACAGCAGGGCTGCATGCCTGACGCATGCACACTTCTTGATATCCACGGGGCTGCCTGAGCCCTTGCTCAGCTCTGTCTACCGGAAGTGCAGTCATTTTTCACTGTCTGTTTGCTGGTCGTCCTGTCTCCCTGAGTAGAGTCACTCTGGCCCAGGTCCTACTGGGCTCATCCTATGCATTGTCTGTCACTTTTCTCACTTACTTCTGCCTAATGGAAGGTCGTCATAGGTTAAGTGCCAACAGTAGCATATGGTGGCTTTATACTTATGTTATTTAAATTGTGTTCCTTTTATTTCCCCCCCCCCCGCTCAGATGCTGGATTTGAGATCCCAAACTTATTTGTGGTGGGTTATGCCTTAGATTACAATGAATACTTCAGAGATCTGAACGTAAGTCTTGCATGCAAATCCCTAGCCCCCTTTACACACGAACTTAACAATGACATCAAGTTAACAAATTTTTGCAATAGCCATAATGATGGCTGCCATTTATTGAGTGTCTTCTGTGTCAGGAGTATTCTGGGCACTTGGCATTCGTAATCCCAGTGAGTTTCCACCACTGCCCAGCAAGGTAGGTATTAGGTTGTTGGAAGCAATTATGATTGTCTCTATTTTGTATGAAGGAAATAAGGAAGTTAAAAGCAGAAAGATAGCTTGTTACTGATTTTTCTTCATCGTCATCGACTGTGTCTCCTCTCAACCATACTAACAGTCAGTATTCAATAAACTGTTTAGTGTCAGTGCTTGAAATCTAGAAGGTTCCAATTACAGCAGCATGTAGCTCATAACTCTTACCCCTTTGGGAGAAATCATTTTAACCCCCAAATGTATGACACTATCGTTGCTGAATGATCTGGAGGTAAACATCTTACCCAAAGTGGACCAGTCCGTGTCTCTCTCCTAGGATTTAGAAACCTAAACCAAACGCCACAGAGACCAAGGGATTTTGGACTTAAGCCTTGGGCTGAGGTCTGGAGCCACCCTGGTTCCTGCCTTCCAGTTGCTTCATTGCTCTGCTCTTCCTCTACCTCTGCGAGCTACCCCAGTACCCTACCGATAACACCCCCTCCTTTTGCTTATGTTCACCCAACACCATTTCTGTTGCTTGCCATCAAAATATTTCTGACACATTTCGTGCTACCCAAAAAGGGTCAAAGGAGAGTCAATACTTGCTACCCAAAAAGGGTCAAAGGAGAGCCAAGATGCAAACATATTATAAACCTGTCACAGTACAGTACTATATAGCCGATTGTGTTAGGGTACCTAGGCCAAGATGCAAACATATTATAAACCTGTCACAGTACAGTACTATATAGCCGATTGTGTTAGTTGGGTACCTAGGCTAACTTTGTTGGACTTATGGACAAATTGGACTTACGAACGCACTCGGAATGGAGCTCGTTAATATGTAGGGGACTTATTATATTTTGTTAAGAGGCTGATGCATTTAAATCCTTTATTGTTTCAGCACATATGTGTGATCAATGAACACGGCAAAGAAAAGTATCGAGTCTAAAGAAGTAATTTTCACCATCGAATCTACAGATAACATCCTACTTATGACTACACTCAGGAAGCCAGCATGTAAAGTTTGTCTCCCAGGCATGTTCACTCAGCAGGATTTAAAAGGAAAAAAATTTTTTAATGAGCGAGCTTTCTTTTCTGAGATTATAACGTAACATGAAGAGTCCCAAAGGTTCTCAAGGAAAAGAAAGCAATTCTTTTATTTGACTTGTTCCAAATTAAACACTCTGCCTTGCGACTCAAACTGCCTTCGCACCCCTGAGATACACCTTCTTTTGTTCTGATAAAGTCGTTATGCTTGATTACTATACCGCCACCTAGTTACTCAAATATTTTTCACTTAACTTTTTTTTTTTTTTAATACTTTACTTTGGTAATATTTTGCAATCTTAAAACCTGGAAGCCTTTTTATTGAACCTCTGAGCCCATGTACTGGAACTGCAAGTAGATTCCCATCCTAATAATGGAGGGAAAGGACAATTTAATATAAATTTCTGTTTGCGCACTTCTGACAGGCCATTATTATCTGCTTTGACAAAGTCTTTCTGAACAGCAGCGACAGTGAATCTTAATGATGTTATGAAATGGGCTTCGCCCGGTGCTCTTGATTGGAGCTTCCGGTATGTGATAACGGTATGTCATGTATGCTTGGATGTACTCAACTGTGTTTAATACTCTGAATTTTAATTAGGAAAAATACAATGGCAGCAAGGCCCTGGTTTCTAGGCGGCATCCTTTTATTCATGCAGGACATGAGAAACAGCAAATCGGGGTGGAGGGAGAAGTGTTTTCAGTGCTCAGAACTGAGCAAGTATAAATTTTTCATGTATTTCCATCAGAGGGCAAGACACTATTATGTATTATCCTAAAGAAGAATACAGAGGTTGAATTATTTTTTTAAGTGGCCTTATGAGACTGATCACACGACCCAACACGCTATAGAAAACTAGGATACTTAAGAAAGTTTTTCCTGAATAACATTTTTTTCCATTTCCACTGTTTTATGAGAGGTTTTCTAATTTATGGGGATTTTAATAGAAAATAAACTTGAGTGCCAACAGAGCTGTTTTTTCTCACTTCCTAAAAGGAGCAAGTGCAAAATAAATAACTAAGCAGCCTTTGTTTGGTTCTGGACCGTATGTGGTGTATTGTTATCGGGTTCCAGCTTCCTTTAAACTAATAAAGAATAAGAAAACTTGTTATGTCTCATAACTGCTTACTGTTTTTCTTCCGCCTTCAGATTTTTTATATACTTTCAGCCATTAAATTGTGTGTGAGCCAGTAGCTTAAATATACGACTGCATACATCTTCCCTGTGGCTTTAGTTTTGTTAATCTGGAAAAAATCCAGTATATGCACCAGTATAAGCAAACGATTAAGCCAGGCTTGATCCGCTGCTTTTTTTTTTTTTTTCTCCTTAAGCTTGTTTGTAAAAACAAGGAATTTTAGTTGTAAAAGAAGATTTTCCTGCATATCTTTGTTCCAGTCAGAGAAGAAAATAAACCACACCCAGCTATCCCAAGGGGCAAACCAGCAAAGGGAATTCCTTCTGGCTTTGTTCCACAGACAAATCTGTATCCAAGTTATAGGTTGATAATTTGGTCTAACTGGCCAGTTTCTTGAACTATCAAAATTAATCTTCTAAATATAATCTTCTAAATATAATTTTTTAAATAACTATCAAAATTAATCTTCTAAATATAATTTTCCACTATGCCACATTTATATCAGAGGACCTAGAAAAATCCAAGGACATTTGATTTTAAATATAACATTAGCATTTTAAAGATTTTCTTTACAATGTTGAATTTTAGTAAACATCAGTATCATTTTTGAGGGACTGTAGGTTTATTCAAATTAGAAAGGAAATTGAGCTGCTTCACAAGAGTTTGAGAAGGATTTGTGAGAGTTAATGCGGCAGAAGAAAAATTCATTAAACGCACAAGAAGTTTAATCATTCCTGCAATGTTTTCCTGTCAGACCATATTTTGACAGTGACATCCAAGAATATCATCTCGGGAAGAACAGTATTTCCTTTTCTCTTGAACACTCTAATCTTTTTAGTATCACTGAGTTTATTCAACCTAGACCAAAAATGTAAAAGCTTATCATCTGGTTAACAACCAGCGCATTTATTAATTTAGTGTTCCAAAGCTGATTAATGGGGGGCGGAAAGAAGTGTGGCATGTGTCCCTGGAAAAATTTGGATTCAGTTATAATCAACATACTCAGTAATACTTCGGGATCTTTCAAACAAATCAGAATCTCTCAGTACAAACTGGCCCTTTCTTATCGGACTGGAATATATCGCATATTGAACCACGTACTACCCCCAAGGTGAGCTGCGTGAATGAAGGTCAGATCCTGATGTGCCTTGTTTAACCTTTGGATGTCTTTGGATATCACTTGTTTTGCCATGTCTCAGGCCTCCGGAGACTGAAAACAGCCTTGCAGAGCACAAGCAGCCACTTCCTCAGCCTCCTGTGCGGTGAACTTGGATTTTCCCAATGGAGACAGAAGGTAACCCATCCCACTTCTAAAGACCTGCTGTCGTGGAAACATTTCCCCACTTCTGTAACAGAGTTACTGTGTTCTAGGAGACTGAAACCCTAAACCACGCTCTCGACCCAGATGTCTGGCTAATTTGGGCAAAAAATAGCATCTGGGAGTTTTACTTAGTTTACCATCATAAAGTTCCTTTGGGTGCCCTGATGACATCTGAGGACCACTGGGCCGGCGAGTTTCACGAAGGGAAAAGAGGATCACGGAGGGACATCTGGGATTTGATGCTGGGAAGTGTGCGGAGTAATGAAAGAGGACGCATGTGGAGAGGGCCTTGAGGCTCCATGGCCCCAGCCGTACCCCATGAATGGTTCTGAAACCTGTGGAGAGAAGTAGGCAAAGGTGTCAGCAGAAAGAGCTGTTTTCCTGGTAGCCTTCATGCCACACAGTGGAGCCGCCAGGCTGGTCTCCACATCTCACTGGGGATCCTGGTGCAGCTTTAGAGTGGGGAGAAGTCCTGGGAAAGCAGCTCTGTTGGAGGATCCCAAGGATTCTGCAGTTAGGGGAGTTCTTGGGCTGGGAAGGGTGTCCACATTCAGGGCGCTTCACAAGATGCCCCCTCTAGAGACTTCACAGGCCATAGGCTTCCACAGGGGACCAGAGCAGCCCATGGGAGGAATGTTGATGGCCACATGTGAGAAAGCTCTGAGCATCCCGGACACACAACTACTGCATGGGTCGTACCATCCATGCTGCTGGTACCCTAGGCAAGGATGCCTGGCCGAGGGGAGCAAGGAGGAGCTGAAATCCAGCCCGCATGCCACTTGTCAAGCCATGGACTGCATCAGCCTTCAGGTAGGCGTGTCCTTTTCTTAAAGGGGTTTCTTTTTCTAGGCCACCAGAAAAGGTTATGATTTTGCAATTTCTCATCCACAAAAGGGTGGCTTTTTCTGCCAGGGTGAGCTTTGCTCAGAAATAGGTAGGGGAGAACACAGAGACAGGGTGTGGGTTCTAAAGTCCTGCAATTTCCAAGTGATAGGAATAAGCCTGAACTAATGTTACTGTGACCTCATCCGTATCCAGATCCTAGTGGGTGTTGACTAGTGAATAAGCTGTGTGTGAGGATGGTAAAGTTTAGATGATTTGTTCAAGAAACCTGGCTGTGAAGAGAAGAAGAGACACAAAACCATAGCTAGAGGCCTTTTAAAAGATGGAAGAGGCTTGTGCATCTTTATTCGCTGTAGAGAACAAAAAAAATCAAACAGAATAGTAGAATGTATTCATTGTTGACCGCTGTGTAACAAATCACCCCAATACTGAGTGGCTTAAACCAACAATAATTATTTTATTATCTCGCATGCTTCCAAGAGTTAGGAATATGGAGAGAGCACAGTGGGGATGACTTGTTTCAGCTCTGTGATGTTTGTTGCTTCTGCAGGAAGATTCAAAGGCTGAGGGCTAAACTGTCTAGTGTGGCAGCCATTAGCCACATGCAGTTATTTAAATTTAAATGAAATAAAGTTAAATGAAATTTAAAATTCACTTTTTCATTCACACTAGCTACATTACAATTGCTCAATAGCCTCATGTGGTAGTAAGTTGCCATATTAGCACAAACAGAAAATTTCCATAATTGCAGAACGTTCTATGGGTAGCTCTCATCTGAAGGCCTGTCTAGTGGATGATGTTGGCTGTTAGCCTGAACCTCAGCTGAGGCTGAAATTCTTCTGTGTGGTTTCTCCATGTGGTTTGGGCTTCCTCACAACATGGTGGCTGGGTTCCCAAGGCAAGTGCAGACAGAGACAGAAGCAGGTGGAAGCCATATTGCCTCTTATCTGACAGACTCACTTCCACCATGTTCTGTGAGTCAAAGCAGATACAGGGATTTGTCTGAGTTCAAGGGGAAGGAACATAGACTGCCACCACTCAGTGGTAGATTAGCATAATCATCACATTGTAAGATGGTCAAGCGGAATGGCATATATATTGCTGTGGCCATCTTCAGAAACCTGCAGATGAAACCTGCCGCAGAAAAGCGATGTGCCCTGCACATTTCCCTACTAATTAGGTTAGTGAAGGAGGTGATTATCCACTGGTCATAATGCATAATTGAAAACAAGCCTGCTTGCACAGATGTTTAAAGATTACAAAATACTACCTAGCCACGTGGGAAAATATGAGATGATGAAAAGAACACCAGGCAGTAGCACATCTTGATTACAAAGATAGAAGTACATGTCTTCCCACTGAGAGTATTTGGAATAAATTAGAAGACTTTGAAAGAGCATCTTTATTTCTATTAAGGTGCTTAAGTTTGAAATATAAAAAACAGTCGAATGGTTTTTGTTTTGCAAATGACCTATAGATGTAAATTCATACTGAAACTTTTGTGGTTCCATTTTTATATGAACAAAGTTTCATAATAATTTGGCCAAGAAAGTGATTCAGGATAAGGGCCCTTAAAACCCAATGAATGTAACTAGGTGAACAATTACATATATATGTTACATACATTATACTAGAAACAATACTCATCAAGTCAATTTTAAAAACAACAGATTACTCAGTACTAACCTACAGGATTTTACAATGAAAACTGCCCTGATTTATCTTATCTCCTAATATTGAACGACAGAATTGGTTGACTGGAAAAAGAAATCAGCGTAATTTTTCTTCTCTTTAGTAAGGATTTTGGTTCTGCCATGTGAAGAATATTCATCAATAGCCTGAGAAAATGACTTATACTACACAGCTACTGGGTAATTGCACAAATCCGTATAGTTTTATTCAAAAGAGACATGTCATGAGCATAACAAAGCATCTTGTGCAAGATTCAAGCCCAGGCATTGGGTGTGTTGACATTTCATGAAAGATTTGGCTGAAACTACTGTGGATCATGCACTATGCAAAAACTTGAGGATAACTCAATGTAACATTTAGCACAAAACTCAGAGGTAGGAATTGGCATCTCCATTTTAGAGATAAGGAAGTGAGTATCAGAGAGATTAAATCACTTACCCAGGGTCACACAGCTTTCTTCAAAGCCAAAAATTGAAGCAGTGCTGTTGGACTCCTGAGTCAGTGCTCAATATACAGGACTAAGTTCATGGACACTAGAAAGTGTGTCTGCAGACTTATGGATTACAATTAGATGAGTATAAGAAAGGATGGTGTGGTATAGGAAATCTA